TTTTTGGATTACTGACGTCAGAGTGAAAAACTAAAAACGCAATTTTAGTATATTTGGCCCATGGTTTCGCGAATATATTGATTTTTGTGTGTAAAATTTACTACCGCACGGTTTTATATGTATGTCTAATGTGCTAGACATTTATTAAAAAAATATTACTTATTAAATAAATAAAAAAGTATAGCCAATACTGGTCAAGAAAAGGAGTTTCTATTATTGCCATTAGTGCCAATTACAAATCCCGAATATCCAGGAATTATTTGCCAAGAATCCTGGGATTTTCGGAAACTAAACTAGGCCGGGATCCCGGGACTAACATTCCTAATAAACACACTGCAATTATGCATGCATAGAATTTTATTGCACTCGCTGCATTACTGTACAGTAGTTGCACTCGAATGCAGTAGTGCTTGAAGCATCGTTTTGATTCACTTTTTGTAGTAGCCGTGACTTGACAGTTTTTAACAGTAGGTATTTGAAAGCTCTAAGGAAGTGAAGAATAGCAAAATTAAATTAATAAAATTAATATTAATTAATTTCAAAACCATTTATGCAGCCCTCTAGTTAAAATCAAACGTACGCACTCCATGGCGTATGAGTTACCCACCCGAAATGAGAATGTTTGCTCTGGGCTAAAGAAAAGTAGAGTGGAAGGCCTCTTGACTCTTAAGAAAGCCTTTTGGAAGGAATTTTAGCTCCTGAAATTATTACTGGGATATGTATGTACATGTGTATGTATGTATATAAATGCTCCCCATTCTCAAAAGCTTATTTGTGGTGATTGCAACAAAAAATAATTTTCAGCAGGTGATGTTGTGCTTCAATGATTTTTATATGCATGTATGTTTATCTTCATATATATGGAACCGCGTCATCCTTTCGATTGCCACATACTGCGGAGTAGCATGAATGAAGGAAAATAAAAATGCTCCATCATTCGGCATTTACATACATTCTTATATACGCAGGTGTTTATTATGCAATTTACTTTTTTTATGAATACGCATTTATACACTGAACAGTTGTACATACATAGATATATACATACATACATATGTACATAGAATGTACGTGTGCACGTGGCTGCGTCTAGATGTGCTTTTGATTTTAAGTGCAAGTGCGTACACAAGAATCAAGGCGCGTGTGTATGTATGTACATGGAAGGATGGCATCAAGTACTTTTGTTGTGACCTTGATTGAGGGAAAGCCCGTGCGTATTGTTCTAGGCTATTTATATTAAAGGACTGATGGGAGTGCAACAAAACCAACATGTATGTGTATGTATGTATTTACATACATGAAAATTGCAGGATGAAATATGCATTTTTCCTTGAGAAAATCAGATTTTCTAATAACTCAAAACACGACTGAATAACGTACTTAGTCCGAAGAAATTTCGACACTATCTTCTCCAAAGCTCCAAATAACCGTATTAAGTCGGTAGATCAAAAATCCATATATTTTACTCTAACTTTAGTGATTATTTCATTCCTTTTAAAGCTTATAAAAAATTCCCATAAACAAGCGTTCAAATCGTTTTTGTATAATGCATATCTAAATGCCCAAAAAATACATTTTTTGCTCATAGTACAATGCGCGCTTCGAAGCCGATTTTCGGGCTGTAGGAAACGTTTTAGGTTCTTTTGATATGGTTTTTCAGTTCTTTGGACTTATTTTTTCGGTTCTTCCGAAACCATTTTTCTGATCTTTTGGAAGACAGTTCCTTTTGCACTTGAACCTTCAACTGTGTTGGTGTTGGCTTTGCTTTTGTATGGTAGATCTCCCGAAATCCCCAAAATCCGCGTCGTCGTTGTGCCACATCGCTCAGATTTCTGCACCACATAACAAGAGAGGATTGTGGAACATAATTT